TGGGCTTAGACTCTTCACTTCATAATTCCACACAGCAATGAGAAAGAATGATGGGTTTATATAGGCCAGAGGGAGAGAGCAGCTGGGAGCGAGTGCAAAAGATTACTAGGAAGACAACTGTTGAAAGATCTAAGGAAAAGCCATTTGAATGTGTGTGAGCTAGGGCTGAACAATAACATGGATTCGGGGAAGAAAGCTGTTGGATGCCTAGAACCGGGAAGGAATCTCGCAAGGGATCAAGAGGGTCAGTGATGGGGAACAGACTACACAGGAATCAATGTAATGTATTAGTACAGCATGAACGCAATAGGTCATGCGGCCGTACCGGTCTTGCAAGCAGGGCTATCTAGTCCTAAGTGGTTGCGCGTGGGAAGCACTTAGCTAGAATGTTCCTGTAACTACTGGTAGAGACTTGGCTGTGTGATCACTGACAGTCAGGGATACTACATCGCCATCAACTGGGCCAGTTCTTCGTAACATTATAGATATACAGTGAAACTGCATGAAAAGTCATTCAGCTGAAGGAGCATGAAAGAGTACAAGTCATGTATATGTACATGGGGGGGTGGGGGGTGCTGTTTGGCCAACACCTGTCCTTCACAGCTCATATCAGGCAGTTGCATGGCTATTCGAGGCTCGCAGCGTCTCGGCTTCCTCCGAAAGCCTCACGAGTGCTGGACTCCAGGTGCCGTGGGTGGTGTGATCTACAAGGGCTTTGTCCGCCCGGTCCTGGAGTACGGCATGCTCGCGTGAATGAGCGCTGCACCCACCACTGTGGCTCGCTTCACTGCCATCCAACGCCGTGGCCTTCGCCTAATCGGTGATGGAGCCTACATCCCTAGCTTAGACATCCGCAGAATGGTCGGAGCACTCTGCTTTCTGTACAAGCTCCACTTTTCAACTGGCCCAGACATGCTTCTAACCCTTCTTCCACCCCGAGCGACCAACACATCACGCCATAGCCGACGCACACAACGGCATCCCTCACACCAGTTTCAGCTCACTTCCACTCCTCCGCTGCTCAGAGTACGGAATGATGTCCTTCGGTCCTTCCCCGACGCTGTTGTGGAGGTCTGGAACCAGGCAGCTCCCGCAGTGCGTTCTGCTGAACCAGCCAACAAGGAAAGGACTGCAAAGAGAAGGTCAGCGCCCACCTGCGCCTTACCCGCTGGGATTGGGCAACGGACAGGCCTGCCATTTCATAATGATTGTATCATCGCTGCCTAGCTGCTTTGTGCCGTCAAATGGTGTGTGGTATTCTTTTGTAAAAAAATTGGGTGATGCAAAATTTGCCGACTACCACGTAGGCCTAGGTCCAGCTTTGCGGTGATCAATGGCTGGGCACGGTGCCAGTGGTCATGTCGTTTCGACTGCTTCAAACCGGAACGTCAGAGACGAGCGTATGGTGCTTTTTACTGCATGCTTCAAACTAGTATTTATGGCGTTGATATGACGAGGACGAGATCAGACGATGAACGGTGTGGGGAGAACACAGAACTCCTGTTGTCAAATTGACGGATGTCATTGAGCTGTGCTCCATTGGCAGTACAGGATCCGGTTCGAGTTCGAGGACTACTCCATGGAGCAAAGTGAAGACGACCCAGCGAGGGTGGCGAACAGCTTCCACTATATGTAGGTTAGAATCTACAGCTGTGCCGAAGTTTGTTTGACGGCAGTTGCATTGTAGGTGACGGGAAGTAGGTTCCACCGCTCAGCATAATAATAAATTACATGGATGTGTTTCCATAGCGAAAGTCGGCGGGGGCAAAATCAATGCTTCTATTGACTTAGGGGCCATTTACATAAGAAAAATAAACCCGGGCTCACTCAACCCTAGGCTTACGATAAGGCCGCCTTGATCTGTCACCCAGTCATTCTAGAGCGCCCGTTTACATGGTGAGGCGGGCTTATTCAGCTCGCCCCGATCTGAACTAGACCTACTCTTGACCCCCGAGCTTATTCAACCCCCAGGGGTTATAAGCGAGTTTTTCCGTATTTTTCGATTTTGCCTCGTGAACCAGAGAGGATGTCGCCGTGGACATTGGGTCTCCTTTGTTTCTTTCTTGGTCTTCTGATTTTTCTTTCAGTGGAAGGTGCTAGCCGATCCTTCACCTTCTCGAAAAATAAGTGACAATCGGAAGGCAGTGGAAGCGTGAGGCGGCACTTCTTGATCCAAATTTCATCATACACGAACATTTACCACTGCATTCAAATGTCGATTCAGCTTGCCTTATTGATTGCAGTTATCAAATTACTGCATTCATGTGCGATTTAAAAAATAAAACGTGCGCAGAAATCGCAGTCGACTCACCTGAACTCAGCCCCGTACAACCGTCATGTAAACGGTTGAAAAATAAGCACGAGGCGAATAAGCCCGGGGGCGCGGGCTTATTTTTCTCATGTAAATGGCCCCTGAGCCTGCTGTTCTACAAGCAGTATGGCGATCACCATCGGCATGGTAAGTATACATCAAAGGCCTTTCTATAAAACTTATCCAGGTTAGCATTCCGCGCACGCAGACGGCATGCAGGCAGGCATACATCATTAGCATTCCGCGCACACAGACGGCATGCAGACAGGCATACACCACACGAATAAGGCTAGGTTGTGTTGGGTAAGTACTGGTGACGAGGAACTGGTTGGTCTTTGCCGCAAGGTAGGCACGAGCCCGTGAGGCTGCGAGTGCCGCAGAAAGGCAGAAGCCCGGAGGCTGTGATTGCCGCAGGAAGGCAGAAGCCCGGAGGCTGTGATTGCCGCAATGGAATGGCAGGACCATAAGGCCATAATGCCGCAATAGAAAGGCAGACCAGTTATGAGTGACTCGCCACCAGGTTTATTGTACTCGAAGTAGGAATGATTCAATGTAGTATTAATGGTTAGTGGTGGGATGGTGGGTCAGCAAAAGACAAAGGCAGCAGGATGCAAGTCGGGCATGAGCCAAAGCAGAGAAGACTCAAAACTGAGAATGGCAAGGAGATATGCCACGTTGCGGACTCGGACCCGATCAAAACTGAATTAATTATTGTGATGGCGTACGCATAAATTAATGTGATGCACAGCAGGCAGTCTTGCCGGTCGCGGCCGGGCGCGCTAAACAAGTGCCGCGGCCAGAACCGTAGAGGGCGCTGTTGCTAGGCACCGGCGGATTATGCTCGCGAAATCATGGAATTGTGCTTTCATGGATTCTCGCGTTATGCTCCCAAAATCCTCATATTATGCTTTGGTACGCGGGGATACATATTCACTTTGTTGTACTTATTAGGCTCCGGCGGATTATGCTCGCGAAATCAAGGAATTATGCTTCCATGGATTCTCGCATTATGCTCGCAAAATCGTCATATTATGCTTCGGCACGTGGGGATACATATTCACGTTGTTGTACTTATGGAGCCTCAAAGTTCGAAAAATTGTGCTATTTTCGTACTTGCAAGTGGCCATAGCTTTTAAGTACAACTAAAATGTTACCGGAGTATCCCCATATGTCCGTTCATGCATGCTAGAGCGCAACATGGAAAAGTGAAAACCTACTTCTTCTATTCATTAGTTTACTTCTTTTGTAGAAAGATTTTTTCATTCCAAATTAGCTTGAGTTACCTTTGAAATTTATCATGTTCAAATGTCTTCGTAATCGTCATACTCGTCCAACCAATGTCACCCGGAGTGGAGCTATGAAGCCGAGACCTCTGGTCGGCGGAGCTTAATGGGCCCCACCACCACACACCATCATTCACCCCAGTGTCTGGAGATATGTGGATTTTGTAGAAAAGAAAAAAAAAGAAGAAAAAAACCCTCAGTCTGCGAATAATCAGCTCATCTCTCCCGTACCTCCACCTCTCCTTCCATCATGACCGAACATCAACTATGTACTAGTATACATCTTATTAGAGCACTATCCATAGCCTACAGTGCACAGTCATGGCCGCTAAAATCCAGAGATCATGACTTCGTACTTCGAAGTAACATGCATAATGTACATGAACACGGAGTTTTGCGGACTACCCGACCGTCACTATCTTGTCCGCCCCAGGATACCTGATGATAAAGGCTGATTCACTCGCATCTTCTGCTACATGTACTGTATCATAGTAGTGTCAGAAAGAACTTTGAAGAAGACGAGCATACCATAATCTACTGGCATGAATTCTACCCTGCTTTTCATTGAAAACACTATCTGCGTCACCTCTGAACCCTTTACCACGCACACCACCAGCACAGATCAGGTGCATTGTACACAATTGTGTAGCCTACATACTGATTGGAAATTTTTATTTCCATTGCTATCAGGTTCGGCCTCATTTCCTCTGTGCTGCGCTGATGAGTTCAAAAAGAACGAAACAGCATGCTGTCCGCAGATTGAGTACATGTACATGTACTAGAACTGTCGTACAATCATGTCCATGTACATGCAGTTATGCTTCTACCTCCGAAAGGATGCCAAATTATGCTCCAAATTGTCAACCACCAAATTATGCCAATAATTATTGGCGGCATAATCCGCCGGTGCCTAGCTGTTGCGCAGCAGATACGTAGTTGCGAGATGTGCGCCTACGCTAAACTGAATTCATTACATGAATACATCATTAGCATTCCGCGCACGCAGACGGCATGCAGGCAGGCATACATCATTAGCATTCCGCGCACACAGACGGCATGCAGACAGGCATACACCACACGAATAAGGCTAGGTTGTGTTGGGCAAGTACTGGTGACGAGGAACTGGTTGGTCTTTGCCGCAAGGTAGGCACGAGCCCGTGAGGCTGCGAGTGCCGCAGAAAGGCAGAAGCCCGGAGGCTGTGATTGCCGCAGGAAGGCAGAAGCCCGGAGGCTGTGATTGCCGCAATGGAAAGGCAGGACCATAAGGCCATAATGCCGCAATAGAAAGGCAGACCAGTTATGAGTGACTCGCCATACCGCCAGTACATACCCATACACAACAGTATTGCAGTGCAGCATAGCATAGTTCATTATGAGGGAATTGTGTGAATCAAGAAACATCGGTGTCAGGGAGATGATCTTACTGAGGATAGTTTGCTGGCCAGCGTTCGGGCCGATGACGGTGGTGTCCGGATGTAGCGTAGGCATGCATCACTGCGCCACCGCCCTGCGGAGCGGATCTGGTGGTCGGGGACGCCAGCAAGGGCAGCAGTGGTAGCGGCCCCGATACGGAAGCTGTGGCCTGCATAGTCCTGCCAGTTTGCCACGCCGCTGGTGCTAAGCAGCGTGCGTACGTGGGCTGTAAAAGTGCTGCGGTTGAGGCGTTGCCCGTTGGCCAGGATGAACACAGCACTGCCTGGACGAGCAGAGGCGGTTGCAGTGAGGTAGGTGAGCATGGCTCTCACAGCGCAGTATGGCGGCACCGCTGGCCCGATCAGCACCGTCGTACCTTCCCCGGACGGGTCTGTCTTCGAGCGTGGTAGATGCACCTGGAGCATCCCTGACTCGAATGTCAAACAGCCGCGCGTGGTAGGTGCTTCTAGCAGTTCACCGCATCTGAAGAAACCAAAGAACACGGCAAGCATAGCGGCATGCAGGCAGCGCTTGTCGTGAGGGCACATGGTTGGAGCAGCTAGGCAGGTGTCAACCAGACTGCAGAGAATAGGAAACGTGATTGGCAGCCTGGGCGGACAGCGGCTACTCCATGGCAACGGCAAATACCGCGTACCACTCGCTTGAGGAAATGCGCGCCCTCGGTCGGGTCGACATAACCGAGCTCCAGGTGCAGGTTCTTGATAGCACTGAGGTAAACCTTAATAGTCACTGGTCTGACCGACTGGGTTAGGGAGGCAGCAAAACTACTCAGCATTTAGGTCTGAAGCGGGAAACGGGGACCATCTTTGAAGTTGGCAGAACTTGAGATACTTAGATTCGCCGGCGGAATACGTTCATCTGGTGTTGTCGGATAGAGCATGAGCAGCATATCGTGCTGCTAATTCGTCCGCGGCAGTAAGAATGACTGGAACAGGTCGGCTGTCGCCCGAGCTCCCGGAACCGCCTCGCGAAACGCCTGCATGTTAAAACGAGACAGAGCATCAGCGGCTTTGTTAGTGCATCCTGGAATATGCTTTGCTGACAGAATGAAGCCAAAGTTAGCGCACATGAAGAACAGCCGTCGTATCAGATCCATGACTGGGGGGGAGCGGCTACAACCATTGGACAGGCATGCCACTACGGCTTCGTTATCGCAGTACACGAGTATGCGGAGCTTGCGCCATTCAAGGCCCCAGGAGGAGCAAGCTGCGGCAATGGCGAACATCTCCTTCCACTCGATGGAGTAGTCGGCTTGTTCCGGCAACCACTGTCCCTGGATCCAGCGATGGCCATAACATGCGCCCCAGCCGATCGAACCGCTGGCATCAGTAAACAATTGGATGTCGGGAGACGGGGTCCAATTTGGCATATGAAAGAAGGACTTTCCGTTCCATTGCGAGAGGAGGCGTTGCCACCACTTCAGGTCTTCCAGGGCCTCAACTGAGAGTTTGATCTTATAGTGTGGCTGACTGTAGCGGTGACAAATATCCCAGAGTCGGCGCATGAATGTCCGACCAGGTATAATTACCCGAGCTGCGAAGGAGAGTTTTCCCAATAGTGAGTCGAGTTCGCGTTGGGTCATGTCGCCACGGTTGACATACTGATCGAGCAAGGTGCGGAGATCTTGCAACTTGGTGTCTGGTAGCCGGGCCTACAGTCTGCCACAGTCCAGCTCGATGCCCAGGAACGACAGCACTTGAGCTGGACCTTCCACTTTGTCAGGTGCCAAGGGGACTTGGACATAGTTGAAACAGCGAAGCAGGATGGAAGCACGTTGGTTCGCCACCAGCTCCGATGGAGAAATGCAAAGGAAATCATCTAGATAATGGAGCAGGTCAGTAATAGAAAACTCATAGCGAGCAATCCATTCAAGGCAGTCGGCAATAGAGTTAAAAATGGCAGGGCTGGAGCGTAAGCCAAAGGGGAGCACAGTGTCGAAATAATATTGGTTTTGCCAGTGAATACCTAGCAGAGGCCAGTCTTCCTGCCGCACCGGTACAATGCGGAAAGCACTCCGAATGTCAAGTTTGAAAAGATAAGCAGAACGACCGTACTGCATAATTGCATCGATCGCGTGATCAATAGTGATGTAATGCAAGCTGAAATCTTCACGTGAAATTCCATCGTTAACACTTTGACCCTCTGGGCTAGAGAGATGGTGGATTAAACGGAAGCGGCCGTTCTTTTTCGGAACGCAGCCAACACCGGAGCAATGAAAAAAAGAAAAAAGCGAGGAGGAAAAAGGACCTAGCAGTTCAAAGCGGGAGCAACATTCTTGCAGGTATTTGGTAATAAAATCGGGATGCATCCTCGCAGAAGGTAAGTTAGGGGAGAACATTCTGCTTTGGCGTGGGCCATTGAAGCCGATGTCAAAACCATACGTAAGGCCATGAAGTACATATTTAACAAAAGCTTGATCGGGGTGTGCACGCAGTAAGGAACGGAGGCGATTAACGTGAATAGGTGTGCGGCAAGTGTGAAAGAATGTAGGGTGTGTCCGGAGAATGCTACTATCGAGATGCAGTTCATTAAGCTTTGTTCTGCCGCTGGTTGCCAGTGGAGAAGCGACGCGGGCAGGAGGGGCGGGCATGTGCGCCCTCACATTGGGAGCAGACGTGGGCAAATTTACAGTCGGTGTTGGAGCATCGACCTTGCTGGAAATTCCGGCAGATCTCTTTGCCAGACTTGGTGTAGGCAGACCGTGGTGCAAACTGCTGGTTTGGTACTCGGGAGGCACGAAAAGGGCACTGGCTACCCGATGGAGGGTGAGTGATCCGGCATGTGCTACACTGCGGGCGTGAGCGGCCTGTCATTTTCAGTTGCCAGAGATTGCCGTCAATGGCGTCCCACCGCTTACTGGGGTCAAGAGAGATTGCCCGACGGAACTCCCGGTCATATTCGAGTCAGGCCTCCGGATAGTATGAGGAGTTGGCCGATACAATGGTGGCCTGATATGCCATCAGTTCGGAGAAACGGCTGGGTGCGTGCGAGCATAGTACGAACATATATCTGGACCAGGCTTCTAGCCATGTAACCAGGTCGTGAACATGCCTACGAACTTTCTCGACATGCCCGCCAGAGCTGGGATCCAGCAGCTCAACAGTCCTGGACCCACTGAAATTCAACTGAATCGTGTCACGCTTTGGTGCCCCAAGAGCTTCCGGTAACAGTGTATTCAAATCAACACACTCACCTCGCAAAATCCTCTCTCTCACGTGAGACGGCACGTTCAGTGGATGAGATAGAGAGCCAGCACCCGGACCAGTTGGTGCAGCATTTCCGGTGGGTACAGCCATGGCGGGGGAAGGCTGCGAGGATCCGATGGTGGCAAGCAGTGGGGAGACCGTTTCTGCCAGGGCGGCGGTGACGGCTTTCTGGACTTCGTCAGATATAAATTGCTTGAATTGTCCGCCGTCGAGTGGTGAGGCAGCGTTACTCGGCAGCTCGGGGTCCGCAGCCGAAGAAACAGGTGGGTCGGTGACAGGGCTAGGTGCTGCGCGACGGGTTCTCTTCCTGGTGCCCGACATGACTAGGCAATGACAGTTCGGTCAGCAAAAGACAAAGGCAGCAGGATGCAAGTCGGGCATGAGCCAAAGCAGAGAAGACTCAAAACTGAGAATGGCAAGGAGATATGCCACGTTGCGGACTCGGACCCGATCAAAACTGAATTAATTATTGTGATGGCGTACGCATAAATTAATGTGATGCACAGCAGGCAGTCTTGCCGGTCGCGGCCGGGCGCGCTAAACAAGTGCCGCGGCCAGAACCGTAGAGGGCGCTGTTGCGCAGCAGATACGTAGTTGCGAGATGTGCGCCTACGCTAAACTGAATTCGTTACATGAATACATCAATAAGAATTTTACTGTTGCTCTGTAATAATAATATTATTGGTTAGAGCATTGCTCACGAATAGCAAGTTCTCGCTCCACATACACCGACATAACGACATGGACCCAGACAACAGAGACAGGAGCACACAGAGTGAGGGTAGTAGGCCGCAGCCAGATGTGAACCGGAATGCAGAAGAAAACTAGGAGCAACAAGAGGGGGACAGACCCCAAGAGGAAGGAATTAGCACATTCATCTAACATAATAAGCCAGGACAAGCACCACTTGGGACCGTCAGATTAATTTCTCTGGACCGAGCCAGCCGGGAAAAAACTAGTGTTGAAACGATCTCACCGGATACTCGTTAGCTCGCTCGCCAGAAACTCGGCTCGTTTGTGCAGCCAGCTCGTTTGCACTAACGAACACCGTACACCGTACTCCGTACACATGGCAGTACATGTCGACCGGGGAGTCGTAAACTATTTTACGACTCCCTGGTCGATCGAGAGTCCAGTCCTGCGCAAAGTGAAAATCACTCGCTGTTACAGGTGACTGTATGCCTGCACGACACTTGAGTTGTTTCAGTTGTCGTTGCAGCTTTGGTGGACTCTACTGATGTCTTGTTCCGCATCTGCTGACCTGTCGCAGGATATGCTTCGGTCACCTCTCCATTCGAGTGAAAGTTACGCTCAGTCGTTTGGAAGTTTTCTCCCGCGATGCAGCGAAGACCAGGGCTACTTGCAATCTTTGCAAAACGGTCTATTCTTACAAAGGCTAATCGACGACGGCGCTGAAAAGACATCTCGACACCAAACAGCAGTCCAAAGTGAAGCAGCAGCAACCCCAAATGCCGGCGGTGATAATTGAACCAGCTGAAAAAAATCGAACTAAAACTTCGAAAAAAAATTGTTCAAAAAAATAATCATATTTGCCACATCAATGAAACTCGTTAGCTCGCTCGATAGCTTGCTCGTTAGTGGAACTGATCGCTCGTTTGTTATAGATACGCTCGTTTCAACACTAGAAAAAACCCTCGCGCCGACGGACGCACGAATGAGGGAAAAAACCGAGTGTATAACCCCAAGTGGCAACCTGGCCGCATAAAACCAGGCACCACATATCTACAGCCAAGAAAGAAATGGAAGAAGATGGGCAGACATGAAGGGTGGGAGGGTGGGGACACTGGTGAGACACAAAAAACTGACTGAAGGAGTCAGGCAAAAAGAACAGCAACAAAAAGCGAAAACATCAGATTCCATATTCGCAAGACAAATAATTTTGATGCGCGAGAAATAATTTCTCGCCTCACTCACTCCGCTCGGCCGGCGAGAAATAAAACGTCCCTGGTTTGAGTAGGGGTGGTGTGAATGACTCGGGTGACATTTCCTTTCTTTCGTATCTGGCTTGCCAGCATTGAGTTTCAGAGAGGAAAGAGCAGTATGAGCCATCCGTGACCTAAGTTCCTAACACTTTGAATTTTCCATGAAGTGCAAACTTGAACTTTCAATTTGTGATTTTGCTCACAGTGGATATAGTTTGATGTGCTACTCACCAGATCAAGCACATGACCCGGGGTCCTCTTCAGTGGTGTGATTTGCCAGCACGATGCAAGCCAGATATTGATGGATTGAAGAAGGCCGATAGGTATACATTTACCATCACAGTGAATCGTTGAAGAATCAGAATGTAGCTCAGTGGTTTAGCGCATTGGTCATGAATAGCAGGGGGGGGGTCCCTGTCCCCTATGGATCTTCTATCTGTGAAGTGATATCAGCGTATAATTATAATGCAGCAACGCGATCCCTACACTGCTGCAGTACACCAGTGCACAAGTGACATGAAATCTGTGATCACTTTGTGCATTTGAAGCTTTCAAAGTTGAGCATCTGTTGTCCAATCGCTTAGATATATTTATGCTGGAAAATGCAAGACTCGTCTTAGCACATTCCCGAAGAGATTTTTTGCGCCATATTTGAACTAATTCAAATATCAGATGTTTCGGACTTCAGTACTCTGGTAGTGTAGTCGAAGCACACTGCGGGAAAACATGTAAATGTTAGAAAAATAAGAACAGTAACTGGACCGTTCTCTGTGTGCTCTTTGGCCACTCTTGTGAAGAAATGTTGACACTAACAATGAACATTGAACAAAAATCTGATCCAACCTGGATGCGAACCTTCAACCTCTGGATTATGAAGACAATTATAAGGAGGTCTATCTGATTATACAGTACAGGTATGTTCTCTTCAAATGTCTCTCAGGTAAATCCAGGGGAAAGGGGAGGGGTGCAGTGTGCAGTGTGCCAGTTTATAACTCAGTCAACAGCAACTGTAACATTCTGTCCTGTGATTGGCTTCCGAATGATAGCTTGGACCTCGGTCCTACCGGTAGGACCATCATCCACAGACATGCTGCACGGCCTATGTTCAGTCTAACATTGAGGTAAACCTGGCCCTAAACTATTACTAAGGGGATAATAAAGGAGTCGAACAATTTAGACGTGATCGTGCAAGGCATATTTTTATTTTGTTTTTATTTATTCGACATCTTATGGCTTCCGATGGCAGCCGAAACGGGAAGATGTGGGTGATAGCCAACTATGGTAAAAGAAGGAGAAAAGTATATACATGAAAAGGAAACAGCCGAAAAGCTATATTGATTAGTTTTTTTACTTGCAAGTATTATTATTATGGTGCACTCAGTCATCAGCAGGCCCTCAGATTCACTTTAAATTCTTTCAATGATGCAGAAGTC